ATATATACATAGTGATATGTATATGTATATCTATCTATATATATATAGATAGATAGATATATATAGGTCATTTTAAAATGTGGTTTCCATTAAACGTGATATCTGCTTATGTATTTTTCATTATTTGCTCAACTTGAATTACCTGGGTTTTTGACAAGTTTACTTTAAGAAGTGATAAGGGGCATGTTTCGTATTGGTACAATGCTACTTTTTAGCAGTAGAGGTGGAAATGATGAATAAATACATTCTTAGTCTTACTGCTTCAGTTCTGCATTGCCTAGCTGTGTGAGAAAGCCGATAAATCTCATCCTGAGTATTTCATATAACAAAGTAATGGGGCAGAGGCCATATTTTTGTATCTTTTTTTTATACATGTATCAATGTGACTAAAAGTAAACAATACATATAATTGAATTATGTTACTGTAATGACCCGTGAACAAATGATAATGATCTGAATGAAAGGTTGGGGTACTAAATGAGAAAACTGTATATACTGAAGAAGAAACAGCCAGACAGACATGCCACAATTATTTTCTCTTTCCTAAAAGTAAAAGAAAATGTGTTTCCCCCAGTCTTATTTGTGGATTTTTTGGGTCAAATAGAAGAATGATGATTACCAGAGTCATATTCATGTAAACTTTTCAAATATCACTTTTGCCTTATTTATATGAATGGTACACATTCAGGACAACAACACTCATGACGAATTCATTTTTCACCAGTTATCCTCACAAAAAATATAATGTTTATGCAGACCAATTACCTGTTTGTGCCATGTCTTAGAAACATTGCATGGTGTGTTTGCCGTATACATTTTGGTTTCCTGTCTTAGTCAGAAAAGCACACTTGCTCTAAACAATATAAATTGTATTTACTGTGCCCCAAAACAAACAGCTTTGAGAACAAAGTGAATGCATCATCTTTAAAGGTGAAAAAATATACAAGTGCATTGTAACACAATATAGTGCCCATATATAACATATGCTGTTACAATAAACTTTAAGGGATTTTCCAGTATGAATTAAAAGTAGACCACTTGTGCAGATATACCTCTTGTTTTCGGACAATCACTTCTAACTAATCTTTTCTTGAAGTCCATGTAAAGTCAAAACCTTTTTTTAGTTTCCGATACAGAAGATACAAATTTAAACGCGTCAATTAATTTTCTGCTGTCTGTGTTCCATTGGGGAGCTTTCCCTTCAGGTCCCAGAGATGCTAGAGAAAGTGAGAGGAAACCTCTAAAACTGAGGATAATTCCCCTTAGACATGTGTCCCCAGGACAGGTATCCCCATTAGAATGTTGTTTTTACCATCACTTTCTGCCTCTGAGATGCTTACCAGGAAAAAAAAAAAGGGAGGTTGAATTTACCAAAGAAAGAAATGTTGCCTTTAGATACACTTTAGGTGAAAACCTATCTAGCACCATTTTATAGGCATCTTTGAGAATTGTAGATGCTACAAACATTTAGCTATCACTGTCTCTGAAACACCCTTATCTGAAAACAAAACATTTCCAACAAAACACCATCTTTAAGATTTACTTCATTTATTGCAAAGAATGGGCTATACAATAAGTTTGTAATACCCCAAGATGCCTTAAAGGGGAAAAAAAGTATATACTTATAGAATTGCTATCCAAGTAATTGGCACCAGAATGTTAGTGTTGGCACCCATTACCTCTACAAAGATGCACCACGAGCCCAAAAATATCAACTCTGCTTAAGTAGTTACTACTCAGCCCTGCTCTCTCCTTACTATGGTCAGAGAGACCACCATTCAGATTTATGGGCATCCATTAGAGATGGAAAGGCCATGCACCCACTTTGTGGATATACAGTATGCATAATATGGCCCTGCTGACATCAGGGCTAACAAGGTAGAGCTACAACATTTCACACACATTTAAAATGATGGTTTCAGGTCAGGTCACCGGGAGTCAGAATAGTATGGGATTTTTTTCCTTGCTACCAGGTAGGATTTTACACACCTACATACTTTCCATATGCCTTACCATCTTCCTGAACCAGACTTTAGCTTGAATTATGGACTGTTTTTATATGAACAAAATGCTTTGACATTCTCTATCTTATTGTATGATTATTAGCCTTGTTCCAAAACAGTAATTTTGGTGGTGGTTACAGAGCCATGAAATTAGTCTTTTGGGTCTAGAACAGTTTCATTAAAAAAAACAGCCAAGGGTCTTACCACTTTTACCATGTTTAGGGGCTGGTTCACACCACCTGTGATCAGACTTTGCTGGCCATTTATTCCAGCAGAGACTTAATACAAGACAAGACAAATTGCCTTGTCATGGACGGGCCAGTTCACACCACTGCATTCTGGTGGTGCGCACTTAAAAAAAAAAAAATAAGTACAACATGCCGTACTTTTTTTAAGCGCACCTCAGTGAGACGTGGTACAATGGCATCGCACCGCAGTGAGCCCCCCATAGAACTGAATGAAATTACAAAAATAAAGTTCTAAAAAAAAAAAGAAACAGTGCGATGTGGCTTGATCAACTGTGATGGCACTGTACGGGAACACAAACCCCAGCAGTTGTGCAGGAGAGCGCAACTGCTGGTGTGAATGTATCCTAAAAAGGCATCTAAAAGCAAAATGTATTTAATATTGATTTTTCATGCCATTTGTTATACTTTTATATTGTGTTAAATGTATATCTATTTTTGTATCATTTCAAATGCAGCCTGTTTGCTACAAAAGCACTTTGCAAAAGCTGTTTTTAACACATGCTAGGTAAGGAACATTTATTGAGATTGCTAAAAGCAAGCTATTTAAAAAAATCGGCTGTAAATCAGTTATTAGAAATAAATGGCATATACTGTATATTCTGTAATGTGCTTCTGTGTTTGTGTTTCTAATATAGATCAGGTAGCAAAACTGAGTACATTTCTGTTTTTCTTTTTACTAAATGTTCTGTGTTTGTGATAAAGAAAAGGAATGCACTGCACTATGTTAAGGAGAACTCACTGCTACCACACCACCACTTACAGCAGCTTGATCCTAGTATTGTGACTGGCCGTAAGCAGCCACTACGTCAAAGATATATGTGAGCCTCTGTCCAATGTTGCACCACCACTGCACACTTAATGTACATGTGACATCCTTTTCTAAAATCTCTTCACTTTTAGTGATAACAGTTATCAGGACATATAGAGGGGGTGACAGGGACTCATACAGCAAATAAAATGTTCTAATCCCTCTCTACTCTATCCACACACAAAAAAAAAAAAAGTTTTGGCTTCAGTTGCACTTTAATCATCCTTTGCCTGTGATATATATTATTTTGTATTTCTGAAAATCTCCATACAAACCTAAAACTTCACCTCTCACTTCCCTCTTCTGTATTTTAAATAAGGATTTAGTAAGCCTTTTTAATTTGTACTTTGTGTAACACTGTATATTATTAATTGTTTACTTTAGTTACTACACTATGTATGCGTTCTCAAGGGTTAATGATGATGGTTACTCATGACTGTTGGAAGTATTTGCTACAGAGCACTAAAGTTTTTCCAACTTGTCCTTTCCCTTTTCTATGACAAAAGAATGAGTATATTACCACACAAACTTGTCAGTTAGAACATTCCACCAGGAGCTGTAAAAAGGCCATTGCAATGAAGAGTAGGAATATACTAGGTTTGTCACTAGTAGTGCTGCAACTGATACCAATAAAGATGGAGAATAGTGGATATCAATAAAACATGAAGGGGGAACCCCATTTGATGTTATGGCTAATGCCTTTAAAGTAAATTTAAAGTCTGTGTAAGTCTCTTCCGTCATAGATCCTTCTTTCTACCTGTCAGCACTTTACCGTACTTCGTGTACACTGAGCCACACAAGCAGCAAGCAGGTAAGACTGCCATAATGTGCTAATAAGATGTGCACACTAGCACATTATAGCTAAATGCAAATAGCATTGCAAGTTCACCCTAATCTGGAGTCAGAGTTAGGGCAATAACATACAAATAAAAAAAATTAAAAAAAACTACTATAGTTGGCAAAGACTATTTTTTTTATTGCTGTCTAGATCCCTACTTTGGAGATTTCCCCCTCACTTCCCGACCCTGTCATACAGAATAGAAGGAGAGGGAAATATCCTCACTGGTGACAGACTGCATCTAAAACCTGCCAGGGATTCTAATCTTTCCTTACTCTACGTAAAACTGAAAAAAATATCTGTTGACTGGAGTTGGCCTTTAGGGCAAGCTCTTCCATTTCACAGTTACTTAATGTATTGCTGTTTTTGTGCATTTTCAATCTTTCTGTCTAGTAGTTACTTTACCTTGGTAGCCAGACGACACTCCACAACTCTTATATTGAAATGAGCTGTTGCTGCTTTGTTCATTTCAACGCAACTATTTGCAATAACAAAAACAGCTCCAAAAGGAAGCTTCACATCGGTAGCTCTTACAGGGTTAAACTCGATCAGCTTGGCCTGTCACGGTAAGAAGACAACAGTAAACATTCCTTCTTATATATTAGCATTGTTCAGGAAAAAAATCTATGAGTGGATTACGGTTGGGCTGAAAGACCCACTGGTTTTCTTACGTCTTATAGCTACATATTTTTCTGTTAATATTTCTGGCTTTAAAGACCCAAAATGTAGCAAGGGGAGTCCAAGTACATACTACGTTTAACTGGTGGACTGACCCCTCCTGTCTTAGACGTATGGGGGGCCAGGATACCCAGCTAAAGAGCTCTTACTGCTGAAGTCCCCAAGAGATACAAGAAACGTTGTGAAAGATTCAACCACCCATATCCATCCAAAACAGACATTGTTCAGTGGCCTGACAATATATAGTCATTAAAGCATGCACATGAAAGTAAAATGACCTATGAACTTTCCAACAGAATACAACATTCTGCATTCTATAATTGCAACAGATGTGGCATAATAGATGATCCCCAAAACATACACTTAAAAGTGCACACATATACATGTATATAACATTTTAGATTTTATAAACACACAATTGCTGTTCCTTAACATGTAACATGCTTGGTAACTTTATTAGAACTACAGAGTGTCTGGGTACAAGCCATGTAAGTCCAACAAACACACTAAAGGGCAGGCACAGTCCAATCTTGTCAGTGCAGAAAATCTACTGAACGCTACAAAGAACTCTATAAATGTAAACTTCTTATTGTCAACAGGCATCTGACTGGCATCTGGAAGGACGCTGGACTGCTTCCATATTTCCCAGAAGACTGTCAGCATAAATCTCTCAGTAGCTTAAAAAGAATTCTCACCTTCAAATGCAACTGTGCCCAGAAAATGGACATTAAAGGATTTATAAACTGGTCAGCCATAACATTATGGCCACCCACCTAATATGGAGTAGGCCCTCCTTTTGCCACCAAAACAGTACTAACCCGTCTAGGCATTGACTCCACTGGACCTCAGAGGCGCAACTAGAAACTTCAGGACCCCGATGCAAGAAACCATGAACTTTCTCTCTCAGGTCCGCTCCTCTGCTCATTGACAGCAGGCAGTGGGTGGGTGCAATTGCCAGCCTGTTATTGGCTATAGCAGGCTGGAACTGCTCCCGCCCATTGTTTACATTCAGCTGCAGAATCTAGCCACCGGTCGGCAGCAAGATGTAAACAGAGAATTTCATTAGCAACTAAATAAATGTAGTTGCCAACAAAGTTTTTTAGTGTGCACATGTCTACCAAGCAACCGGCAAAAAAAAAAATTGAGAACATATTATGTCCTTTTTTTTTGCCTGTTGCTTGAGAGTGCCGGTTGCTTGAATGCCGGTTAATGGAGAGTCTACTGTATAGTGCTCATTCTTTAACTCTTTCGCTACCAATTATAATCTGCATTTTGGGCATTGAAAATTACTTAAACCCCCCAAAATATTATATATATTCTGATAGCAAAGACCCTGTAGAATAAAATGGTGGCAGTTGCAAATTTTACATCACACTATAATAGCGCAACTCTTTATCAAACCCCAAATTTTTGTAAAAAATACTGTTAAATTTAGTGCCCAAAAACACGATGTAATACCCAATTTTTAAATAAAATATAACAGATGAAGTTGCGATGAGTAAATACTCAACATGCCCGGGTTAAAAATTGCGTGTGTCCATGAAATGGCGACAAAATACAGTACCCCAAATTGTCCATAGGCGGCACTTTAAAAGCCGTACAGGTCGTCAGTTTAGAGATATCCATGAATGCTGGCCCTAGAATTATTGTTCTCACTCTTGCATGCTCAGCAATACCAACATGTGTAGCGCAATTGCCGCTTTGGTACATAGGAGCACCTAACGCGTGTTTAAGTTAATATCACACGCTCACCAGGGTTGGGGGACCTAATTTTTTTTATTTTTACATTAATATTATTTTATTTTATTTAATTTATTTTACCTATCAGATAAGGGGGCTTACAAGCAATATGTGATAGCATATTGTAAGTGAAAGGTTCTCTTTAAGGTGATATTAGGGGTCAATTAGACCCCTAATGTCACCTTTCCACTCCAAAGAAGCTATTGGAGCACAGATTATGCTTCAATTTCTTCTTCTTCAGAGTCTGATAGCTGAGGTGAGGTCCTGGAATTGATCGCTTCCAGCCCCTTTCAGCAGGGAGGAGATTGGCGAAAGGATGTACGCCAGTCTCCTTCCCTGCCAATACCTGTGATGTCCCAGACCTGCAGGAGGGGCAGTGGAGCCCAGAAAGCAAGGTGGGATGTCGGGCAGGGGAGGTGGGGGGGGGGTGTCGCACTACTTTGGCCCCTGAAAGCGATCTGGAGGCAGTCCAGCCACCAGAATCGCTTCCAGTATAAAGTCAGCTTTACACATGTAAATAGAGTCATACATCGGTGGCAGCGAAAGGGCACCAAGTGATAGACTGTCAGGGTCTGGTCAGGCATGTGACCACTGCACCCTGGTAGTTCTGCCAGTGAGTCCTGTAAGTTGCGAGGTAGGCCCACCATGGACAGGACTTTTTTTTCACAAATGATTGATTGGATTGAGACCAGGAGAATTTGGAGACCAAGTCAACAACTCAATCTCGCTGTGTTCCTTAAACCATTCTTGAACTATTTTTGCAGTGTGGCAGGGCGCATTACCCTGCTGAAAGAGGCCACTGCCATCAGGAAATACCGTTTCCATGAAGGGGTGCACTTGGTCAGCAACAATGTTTAGATAGGTGGTACATGTCAAAGTAACATAAACATGAATGGCAGGACCCAAGGTTCCCCATCAAAATATTGCCCAAAGCATAACATTGCCTCCTTCCCAAAGTGCATCCTGGTACCGTCTCTTCCATAGGCAAGCAACACACACAGACACCCGGCCCTCCACATGATTTAAATGAAATGTGATTCATCAGACCAGACCACCTTCTTCCATTTCTCCGTGGTCCAGTTCTGATGCTCAGATCCCCATTGTAGGTGCTTTTGGCGGTAAACATGGGTCAGCATGGCCACCCTGACCGCTCTGTGGCTACGCAGCCCCATACACAACAAACTGCGATGCACTGTGTGTTATCATAAATGTGGCCCTTGGCAAAGTCCCTCAAATCCCTACACTTACCCATTTTTCCTGCATCCAACACATCAACTTCAGGGACAAAATGTTCACTTGCTGCCTAATATATCCCACCGACCGCCAGGTGCCATTTTAACAATATAATCAATGTTATTCACTTCACCTCTCAGTGGTCACAATGTTATGGCTGATCAGTGTAAATTCTTAACTAGCAGTAAAAGAGCTTTCAACCCATCCCTTGCTGTCCTCGCTAGCTGTAGGCACTTTGGAGTAATTAATTTGCAAAGATCTTCCCTCTGTTGTGAACGTTAAAGATGAACTTCTCCACAGTACTTTCAGGTAGAGAGATTGGTGAAGGCTTCTTTTAAAGCACTTTAACGGATTTGTAAAAATATAACTCAGCGGTATAGATCAAGAACTATTAATGCAGATCTTAGTAAGCAGGCTCTGTTTTATTTATATAAAAGTTACCTACAGTTTTCTCCTCTGCCAGAAATGAGATTGACTGGTCCATCCCACCACCTTCTGTGCCAATGTAACGTTCACATTTTGCACAGGTTTCAGCGAGCTCCACCTGTAAGTCAAATTGACACACAGTTAATGCAAGAATAAACCAATATTGTAAAATCATCAGCTCCTGGATTACAGTGACTAAACTATTGTTCTCAGTGGGGTATAATTAACAGTTACATTACATTTTCGACGGAACAGTAAAGTAGATTATGTTCCACTGTTCCCATACATGCATTCTTGCATTCTTTAATCTTCATACAGCAGGTAATGACAGGATGATGGGGACCCATCAAGTTGCCCAAATTGTTTACCCATAACTGCTAATTTGTTAAAAAGAAAACATAATTGAAAGTAGTGTTGTTGCACAATTAAAATGTCTTCTTTAAATGAAAGGTGACCTCTCAGTGGCTGATGCTGGCAAAAATCCCTTATAATAAAATATTATAATAAGGAACAGTGAAGTAACCACTGAAATGCATTTCTGAAATATGGAGCGTTGACACAATATTACTCACAGGAAGATATAATTTTCAAGAACCACTAGCATTGCTTGTTAAATACATTAGAAGAGTGGGAATAAAAGAGATACTTAGTCCGGAACCTCCACCCACACTTTGTGGTTTCTTCCCAGTTTATATGCCAAATTATGTGCAAGAAGCTGCTTCAATTCAGCACAGAGCTTGACAAAGAAAATAATTATACTCTGTTTTGCCAAGATATATAAATCGGGGATTCTAAACCATTATGCAAACTCAATAATATCTGTCTGACAAGACATAAACTCCATTGAGCTTTTTAGGTAAAAACCCCAGTGGTTAACAGCTGGTTAATGTGGTTACTACACTGCAGAGTGCATAGACCAGGCATTCAGCCATGCTGTTTTCTGTTAAAAGCGGTCATTTATACTGTATCAGCTATCTATTCACAATGTTCTAATAACGTACTCAAAATGTCAACAAAAAATACAAACCCATATATAATATTAGTAGTTGTAGTGGTAGTAGTAATGGTAGTACTTTAAAACAATATTACCATTTTCTTTCCACAAAGTTACACCAGTTAAGGTATTTTGTACACAAGTTGATGTAATTCTGCCTTCTCTACCTGTAAATGCTGTACAGCTCTATGGGGAAAATGTATCAATATGGTCGCATAATCAGCGTCTTTTAAACTGCTCTATCCATGATTTCAAGTGCATACAGCGACAGATGTATTATCCTAGATTGTGTTTCATTTCTAAAAGCCTTCACAATGAGGATTGTCTTTAAATTGTCTCCAAGTTGTCTCTGCCTCTAAATTTTTTCTGAATAGTCGCAAGCGTGCTGGGAACCTTCTGGGTGACAGCTGAATAGTCTTAAAGTGCTCAGCTGACTTGAGGATGTTAAGGTGAATTATCTTTGTGATACATAAGTGCTCAGGAACACTTCCAGGATGTGCAATAGTTTGGAGGTCTTTTAATGTGGCAAATGCTGGATGCAAATACTGCACAGTTGAGAAATTATGCAAAATGATGAAAAATATGTCCAGTGAGCCGCAAACATTAATATGTTGTTAATAATAATATTATTATTGGTAGTTATAAAGCGCCGACAATTTACACAGCGCGGTACACAGTGCACATTCACATCAGTCCCTTCCCTCACGGAGCTTACAAACGAAGGTACCTATCTCACATGCATACATATGAAGGCCAATTCAGACAGGAGCCATTTAACCCACCAGCATGTCTTTGGAGTGTGGGGGGAAACCGGAGTACCCGGAGAAAACCCACGCAAGCACAGGGAGAACATGCGTCACAAGAACACTTAAAAAAATATGCATAACTGAGATAAAAGTTTCCGGGTAGTTAGCATGACATTTTGGACTTTGCGCCTAAAAATGTTATTGCAAACACATTCGTAAATTCCCCCCATATGTCCAGCACAGGCCACCACAGTGTTGATATCAGCTAGGTTTCCCACCAGGGGTGGTCAGCTTACTCGAAAGGAAAACAGGAGGTGGGATATGAGTTGGGATTATTATTTCCTAAGTTCTAGCCTGACAGAGACCCTTACTCATGTTTTTGTCTCTGTATAAGCATCTGTTCTACTGATGAATAACAGAGACAAAGATGTAAGCACTGCAGAGGGTCATACAGTGCCATGTATGCATATGTTAATGGCAAAGAAGGTAAGAGATTATATTTACTTTTGTACATTGCTCTTTTACTAGTATGGTGTGCAACGTTGCTTCAAAGTACAGTTACACTTGTTATTAGTAAGATGGTATAAAACAAGTATTTGCCAAGCAAATAACATATGGTGCCAGTGCATTCATATTTGGGCAACCTGAGAGCTACAATGCTCATCAGCACTAGCACTTTGATAACAAAGATAAAATTAAAGAGACCACATCCTAAAAAACTGCCACCAACAGAATAGCTCCTGTAAACATGGCAATCTTGTGTTTCTGTGGACATAAGCAATACTATCTATGGCCGCCATGGCTGAAAAATAAATCGACTAGTAGCAAGGCTAGGTCAAGGATACTTTGCTGCAACTACTGCAATAACTAAGGTTGTAGGATCCATACCAAACAATGCAACATAGAAGGTAGCAGTAAGCTGCTCTAAAGCTGAACTGTAGGCAGCAACGAAAGTTCAATATAACCCCCCCAGTACAGGAAGCATGAATAGCCCTTAGTCTAGGCTAGGGGCTGCTTAGTGTAGAGAATTACTTGCCTCATTCCCAACTCCTGCAGGCTTTTTCCCTCCCTGCCATTTGATCAGTCCCACAAAGCCACTCCTATTTGCTGCTTGACTGGTCAGAACCTCTCCAAAGACCTGGGGTCCAACAATGTATGTGAGGACATTAAGGGCCTAGCCACATACTGTAAGCAGAGCCAATCAGAAAGGAGCAATGGCTGCTGCAGGAGTGAGGAATAGTGTGCAACTGGTTCCAGACTCATACAGTCATGTAGAATATACTTTGGATAACGTGTAACAAAAGCACATAAGAGATTCAGGAAAGGTAATAATTGTCTAAAGCAACCAATCACATGGTCATTTTTATATTATTTTACTTTATATTTGCTTAAAGGGTTTTTAAACCCTCAGCGTGTTTTTGCATATATCTACTTCTAGCAATCAGTAGATATTTCCCCCACCCTTTAGATTGTAAGCCCTCATGGGCAGGGCCCTCCTTACCATCTTGTCTTGATTTGTATTGTAATTGTAATGTCTTCCTTATAATGTAAGGCGCTGCGCAAACTGTTGGCACTATATAAATCCTGTATAATAATAATATGGAAAAACTTTTTTTTTTTTCCTTCGGCCGGGAGATGAGGAGAGACACAAGGTAAGTCTATGGAGCAGTATGCACCCGCACAGACTCCGTGGGACATCAGAGAAGAGGAGGACAGAGGAGTAAGCGCTGAATCGGAGACCTGAACCAGCCCTGGAGGGACATCTGAAAACTACACTAAAGAAGAAGATGATAAGATTAAGAGGCATGATTCAAGGTAAGTCCTTACACTAACATGGGGGGGACGGGGCGAGAGAGATAGCCTTTAATGTCACTTTAATGTTGTAATGTAAGGAACACATGTTAAAGTATGCTATTATATGCATTTTGTCAACAAAGCTCATTCATATGGTCTAACAATGCACCACAATACGGGTTTTAATATACAAGTTTTGACATATGTTCACTTTATTTCCCAACACAACTCTCCACAATTCCCAACACTTCACATCTGTGCATTGAGATGCCGTCAAAATGAATGGCACTTCAACACACAGGAAAACCACAGGTTAATGTGCAATTTGGTCATTCTCATTTTAACACAAAAGTATGAATCCTCCATTGAACATAATGAAGTACAGCAATCTTTTTACCTGTGACCATGTGCAGAAATCCAGTAAACAAGACCCTTTAGTGGTCCCTAAGGACTTCCAGGTAAACACAGGTACAGTGTATGAGTCACAACATATTCTGAGCACTGGCTGTTATTTTATTTTTTTTCATTGTGCATAGCAGTATGTCAAACACCATATTGCAACAGTCGCAATGGTGCCATTAACTCTGCAATCTTACTTACAAGAACAAGTAGAAAGTAGGTGCACAAGACCCCATACAATAAGCATTTGCTGCAGAGGACTTCTATAGTAAAACATGTTAAGCAAAACTATAAGTAAACTTAAAACTCCAGTTATGTATTAAGTTAAAAAAAATCTGTAAAAGCATTTTTAAATGGTAGAAAATCTGTAATTATATTAGTCTCCCATTATACCCTGCACAGCTGAATGGCAAGCGTCATCACCAAGCTTCTACTGCATTGCATGGTACAATCAAATGGTGGAACTTGCTGATCAAAGGAGGGAGCACAGAGAAGGAAGAAGCACTCATCAGTGAGCTGCTGCTCATTCTCTATCCAATCACGAGCTAAAGGCAGTCCTTGATCAAGCTGTATTTCCTGCAGTGGAGCAAAGGGAGGCCAGGAACCAGACTGACTGCAGAGAAAAACACAAAGGTATGTAGCTTTAAAGAAAAAATGTATTACATGAATACTACATATATGTCACTGTTGTGTTATAATAACTACATATTTATCTATTTATGTATTATTTTAAAATGTAACTGAATATAATACAAAGTAGGGCACCCTGTGAGTAGTATCCTCCCTGAATGTTTCAATAAATGTTGTTTATTGTAGTTAGTTTTAAAGTGAAGAAACCAGGTTGCGTGGGCGATCAGATATTACATATAGGAATGTCTGAGCAATGTGGAGGGTACAAATAAAATTTTACAATTGTATTTAGGGAGAAACAGCAGGAGAAAAATCATATTGTTGCTAGAAATTTGTAGGTGAAATTGGTATCATTACGAAATCACAGGCTAAAAAACAAGTCAAAATGTCTTGTTTACCATAACATTAAGGGTAGGAGCACAAAAACGGAATTTGGATTACAACATCCATAATACCTTTCGTATATATGCTTTAGAAATATACACATATGTGCTGTAATTGGGAATATAAATAAGTGAAGATTAAGCCCACTTTCATGTGCTAAGACGCATGTAT